GCGATAATGTGTATCGGACAGAAGGAAGAACCCGGATCAAGGTGACTTTCGCTGGATCACCGTTATATTTCTTCGATATCTGGGTTGGTGATCTGACTGGCCAACACGATATACTTGGTAAGGACTTCGTGGTTTCAGCCGGGATCCGCCTGGATCTAGCTTATGGATCGATCAGTTTGTCGGATGAAGTCCGGATCCAGCTCAGTGGAAGACGCCAGCTCTATAGCGACAAAGCAAAGATCGTAAATGTCGGTCAATACCTTCGGAACCAAGCAGGAGAGTCGGAGGAGCTGCCATTACGCCTGAGATCGTCGACCCACGACGAGCTGTGGGTCACAAGCGGGAAACAATGGGTGCCCGCAATATTCGATGAGCCAGGGAGGACGAAGTATATCTCGATCATCAACGTCAGGGACGAGGTGTTGATCCTGCATCAAGACCAGCGGATCGGGATCTGGCTGGCCGGGTATCATGTGCCGCGACTACCGGGTTTCATCTCGATCGGGTCTCGTCGTTAGACGCTTGGTCCGAAGATATGGAGACCGAAGCTCCGCTGGAGCCCGCGGTAGAGCGACCCGAGTATAAACTCCGCACACAATATTCCAGAGGCCGAAGACGACGTCGATTAAGTGTCGGAAGATCGAGGCGAGTCAGGATCAAGACGTTCCCGACTGTCTATCTTCGGATAATTTGCCTTCCAATATGCCGCCGTCGGACAAATCGTCGTCAGAGATTCAACCGTTGGATCTAGCGTCTGTCGCAAGCGAGGAGGCAGATCTGTTGTCTATCGCAGATGGAGACATTGCATGCCGTAACGATCAAGGAGTCCCTAGAAGAATTTGATGAAGTAACACCAGACGTGTGTGTGACTGATCCGTCGTTGGAAGAAACTACAAGTGCAGTGGAAATGCGAGAAGAGGAAGGTCGATATGGAATTGGGGTCGCCAACCAGGATCAACTACATTCGGGATGTGAGGATCAAAGAACATCATCGTCGAAATGCGGCGGGCCAGATCCGTCATCAATGATGAGTGTACAATCTAGGACGGGATATGTGGCCAGTGATCCGTTGAACGACAAGTTCATCGTGTTTATGTCGCAAAAACGGACATGGATCCATCACCTGTAGTTGAAGATCAACCAGGCGCGTCGGATCTGGATCTTACCTGGGACTCAGATCAAGATTATGATGAATGTGTATACTACCCTGAAGGGAGTGAGTGATCTTTACGCGGAAGATGTCGAAGGTCAGATGGCGGTACTACCTGAAGTGCCCGTGACGACGGAAGATGTGGAGATCGAAGACATTCATCTATGTGGATCTGATAATCAGACCCCAGAAGAAATTGATCGACTTCGTCAATAGATCTGGAAGTTCCAGCACCTCTTGATCGGCAAAGGTAATGCCCTGCCGCCGGCCGCCCGAGGTGATGTATTCGATATCGATGTCGGAGGAGCGAGGCCTATCGCCCTGAAGTGTCTTAAGTTGCGGATAAGTTCAGGGAAAAGCTAGCAGACCTGATCAAGGGTCTATTGTCTGCCAAGATGATCAATTACTCTAGATCACCGTGGCCTTCCCCGATCGTGGTGATCATCAAGAAGAACGGAGTGGATATCAGATCCACAGCCCTACAAGGACGTCCAGGACAGTGGGGTGCTCTGTTGTCGCCCTGGACTCTTGAGATCACTAAGTGTGTCAAAGGAGAGGGCGAGATCGTAGGAGCATTGGCGGCCAGTATTACCCCTAGATCTGAAGTGGATAAGGCATTGATATCGATTGCCCCTAAAAAGAAGGAGCCCACACGAAAGATCCAAGCTCCGATCTCCATTATTGGACGTGACGAGGATCTATAAGCTGTTAGCTTCGAAGAATCCGCTCGTGCGCCAAGAGAGGCGGAGACGCTTACAGCGCGATCTTGTGGAAACTGCCTGAATGGAGGGTGTTAAAGGCTAGATCTGGTTACGCCGAAGGTCTAACAGTAAACCAAGCAGAATATCATGGTTGCTGTTGTGTTTGGATCTGCTGGAAGGTTTGGACCGACGACGTCTTGTGATCTGTGGAGACTCGAACCTGGTGATCCGTTCCTGATCATCGCCATGGATCACATACCTTCGTTGCCTAGATCCTTCAATGGCAACACAGAGTTGTTGATCTTCGTAGATCTATTCTCTGGTTATGTGATCGCCAAGACCAGCGCCTCTAGATCCGCACAAAATATCGCTGAGGCTTACGAAGAATGCGTTTTCCGCAGATTTGGTGCGAGCGAGGTGATCCGGAGTGGATTTTATGTCTGACTTCTTCAAGTCCTTCAACAAGATCTTGGGTCAATCCCAACGTGCTACTGTGGCTTACGGGCCCCAAGCTAATAGATCCGCAGAGCGTATGGTCCAGACGGCCATCAGGGCTCTTAAGATTTACGTGCAGGACCTGGATCAACACGATTGGGGTGAGTATGCGGAGCGGCTCACCTTCGCGATCAACACCG